GCTTTGATCTGATCCAGTATGTCTCTAATACAAATTCCTTTGAAGTCTTGCCATCTAAGCATCTGAATATTGGCTCGCCACGACTTCTGTGGCCATCCGTTTTTCCGTATAGTACGACATTCTTGTCTCTCCTATTTTAACTACCTTCTAACCAATTTAAACGTCCAATTTGAATCTTTTTTAATACGCTTTTATTAGCTTCAGACGTGTGTATGTAACGGAATCTTTGAACATGATTTTGACCCCCTTCAAAACGTCGGATTAACTCGAAATTTGGTATACTTAGGACCGATGACGATTCAATATTAAAAAATAAGTGAAAAAACAAATATAGTTAAAAAAAACTAACAAAATACGCTTTTATAGAAAGTCCAACTAAAAAATAGAAAATAAATTTTAATAAATTTTAATTAAAAAAAGTGTAAGAAGAAATGATTTTATTGTAAAAAAAAGCGTGTTACAATAAAATCATTTTTTCTTACACTATTTTTAATTCAAATTTTTTAAAATTATGTTTTATTTTTTAGTTGGATTTTCTATAAAAGCGTATTTTGTTAGTTTTTTTTTTTTAATATTTTTATAATCTTCATAAATATCATACAACTAATGAAAAATTTTCTTTGTAACCCGAATAAATTCACAAGTGATGTCCTCACTAATGTAACAACGGAGCATAATCAAAGACATTACCGACGTTTATCTCTTACGAAAGCAGTAAAAATAAATGTTTTGTGTAGTCATTAACGACTTGCTGGAAATAATGTTGTTTACGTAATACGTCTCTAGTCAGTCATTCGTTTTCAAAAAAAAATACATCGATGCACATATGTATCTTAATAAATTAGATTTTTGACTCCTTTTTTTTTGAAGATTTGTTGATCTGGTTGTTACGAAAGGTTTTTTATACTCCAAAATGTGTAGAAAACTTAAATCTATATTATGCACATTATTATTTAACGGGTTTTGTATTAATATTAATCAAAAGTGTAGTCACTCAGTCACATTCCTTTACGTAAAACTTCAGAGAACTTCAAAAAAGAAGAACGGAATACTATCGGCAGTCGCGAATCACTTCTAAGGTTTGCCCAAAAGAAAAATACCTGGCGATTCAGAATGAAGTATTTCAGTTATATACTCGAAATAAATGCTTTTAAAATTGGCAAGACCTTAATAATTAACCAAAGTCGAACTTTTTGGCGGGAACGCGAAGAGTGAAGTTGTGTGATTTGTTTTATTTTGTCTATTTAGTGTTTCTTCGGGTTTAAATGTGTAATAACGGTGGTTTATTAACTGTTTAATATCTGTGACAGTGCACAAATGTGGGAAAATGAAACAAAGCCACTGGACGTAACTTCTCGCGATCCTCCAAAAAGTCCACTGAAAAAATCTTTGTAAATGACCACCATTTAACTGAGATTATATTTCATTTCTCAAATTAATCATCTTCATTGCATTTCACTCCATAATATCGTTTTTCATAAAAATATGAATATAAAATAAAATAAGACATGACTTAAAGGTCTCAGTTACTAGGTCATAAAATCCCTTAAATAAAAAATAAAAAAATCCAAGTCGTCGCGCGAAATAACGTTTGCATTACAGACTGGCAGCAACTATCAAATAAAGAGTCCCATAATGATTCTTAAATTGACATTTCTAAGAACGTAGGTACCACCAGACAAATATATAACGATTTATTATAAGATGCAATGTCCAGTGCAAAGTGGGGCGTCTATTTACGAACACTCGGCGCCCATAACGCTATGTCGAATGTGTATCAATGCGCTGAAGAAGTACATAATCACATATCTATATATATACTATATATAATCGTATAGTTGTAAGGACCATTGTGTACAAATTCAACACTTTGTCTTGCTTTAGTCGTGCGCACATGGCTTATGTTGGAAGCCAGATTTTGTTTTATTTTTATTTTTGTTTTTTATGTATATTTTTAGCTTATGATTTATATTGTGTGCCTAATAAATAAATATACATAATCATATATAAATGGTGAATTTAACAATTGGAAAACTATTTTTTTTTGCCGCGAAGAAATGCGGTTTGACAGTTGTGTGTTTGACACAACACAATTGAAGCCTTAGCCTAAGCCTTTGGTCAACATAGGCGGTGAAATTCACGGTTGAATTCTGACTCATCTACTCCTTTTTAGTAAATGTAAAAATCAGTGCAATAAATATCGGAAGCAATTTTGTTTTTAAGACAAAAATAACAAAGTGAAACCAATTGAGTATTACAATAATTCAATGTCGCTCTGACCGAAAATACACAAAACAATGTGAAAAAATAATGTGTATTTAAATAGAATCGGCCCTCAAAGTGTGGCATTCACATTAAGTTCATGTAAAAATAAATACTTGCAGGCTAAGGGTGGATTCGACCAAACTTAAATTTATACTCGAGTAACTAGTAACTATACGAGGAATAACCTATTCCATGATTTTAATCTCGAGTAAATCTATAGTCGTTTTTCCACATATACTTGCGCTAGGAATAACAATACGCGAATAGCAGAGTGAATGGTGAACAAAAATAAAATCCGACAAATAAATGTTGTTGTTCAACGGCATAGTGTAAGAGCATACATAGCGTCAACTCGATTTTGCCGTATTTTAGTGTGAAAAGGTAGCTGTTGTGTAAGATATCCATAGCTCCGTTATTCCGTGCGAAACGGCGGTATAGTAACTATTCCCGAATAGGCCCATTATTCTTAGAATTGTAGATGGTAAAACGTAAAATTGATTTACTCTCGATTAACTGACGAGTTATTCTAAGAATAAGATTTACTCTTGTTTGGTCGAATCAACCCTAAGACGCTTATGGGATTATTCTGTGTGTATGTAAAAAGTCAAAATTAAAAACTACTAAATTTGTCGTCAATAGGTGGCGTTGTATATATACACTTTTTATTAAAACACTGATAAAGATTGATTATGGCTTATACATATACGTATATATAGGTAGTCTGCCTTTCATTTGCATGATTGTTTCCCGCCTCCCTCGGATTGGTAAATAAGACCTCCGGACCAGAAATATAATCGAAAATCTAATATTTCCCAATCAAACTCGTGACGCTGGATAACCTAGCGATACTATTAAATTACAGGCACGTAATGAATGTAATGTCATCGATAAGTCTGCAAATGTTGGGATAAATAATGTTAATTTGTGTTAAAAATGGCCGGAACATACTGAAAATTAAATTAAATTAATTTAGATAGTAACTTACATATGTGTGTGAGTGTGTGAGCGTATGTGTGTATGTATACCTATATATACCTATATATACATATACACACAAGGTATTTAGGCATTTTAGTTTAACAGAGATTGTTATATTAAAACATTTAAACTTATAATTTCTATGGTTGTAATTTCTTTTGTGCATCAATAAAAGAAAAGAAAAAAAAAGTAGTTCGTTGCATATCTGTTCATTTACACGAAAATGTAATTTCTTACGAGTTTTCATGTTGATCAAGTTAATATTAACCGTCTAATCTTCGTATGGAATTGGAAAAATAAAATCTATATTAATATTATAAAGCTGAAGAGATTGTTTGTTTGTTTGTTTGTTTCTTTGAACGCGCTAATCTCAGGAACTACTGGTCCGATTTGAAAAATTCGTTCATTGTTAGATAGCCCATTTATTGAGGAAGGCTATAGGATATATAACATCACGGTAAGACCAATACAAGTGAAGCACCAATAAAGAATGTTTCAAAATAGGGGTTTAAGTAGCTCCTTAACATTCTATAATTCAAAAATATTTTCACTTTCTACGTAAATGAAGTGGGGGGTAAAATTTAGGGTTATGCCAAAGTAACTATTCCACGCGGACGGAGTCGCGGGCAAAAGATAGTTCTTAAATAAAAATAAACAACAAATGTAATGATGAAATTCATTGATCCGCACGCGAAATGAGATAACTAAACGCAAAACACTCGTTTTTCGCAATTCGAAAGGCCCATTAAACAAAACCTGTTTTGTGCTAACACACTTACAACTCTACCACGCGAATGTTAAAGCTCATTTTTAATCCTTGTTGTCGTTGCATAAAACTGGACGAGTCAAAATTATTATCTATATATTAATACGTGAAGCAAAAACTTTGTATCCCTTTTTACGAAAATTGCGCGGACGGAGGAGTATGAAATTTTCCACACTTATAGAGAATATAGAGAAGAAGTGCACAATGCAATTTTTTTTTTAAATAATGCATAAAATATACTTTAAGTCAATAAAGAAAACATTACACACCTACATACCATGTATTTGACGCACACACGCATGCATACTATTTATTGTCAAACTTTTGTTCTTGACGTCTGTGGTCAAATTGAGAATAGGTTAAATATAGTTTGTCTTTGTTAATATTTTTTATAGTATAATAGTCTTGGCGAAATTTGTGATTATAGAAGTATAAAATACAATCATAATAGTGTACAAACTTACAATTCCAATTAATTATAGTCGAATTTCGACTACTGCAGGACCTCTAGTTTGACTAAATCTTAAATTTTATTTTTTTGCTTAACATACTTGATGTTTTACTAGATGCGTAGATGAGTTCACGGCTCATCTGGTGCTAAGTGGTTAGTGGTTACTACATGCAAGCCGCCACGGACCGCGAGACATCAGTATGCTTAGTGCGAATTTTTTAACGTTCTCGTTACCGTAAAAGTTAACTCAAATTTGTATGGAGTTGGAACGTTTGCCCACGTTTGCCGCTAGGGGCGCTGTTCCAAATACAAACAACTGCGTACAAATTTGAGTTAACTTTTACGCTATCGAGAACGTTAAAAAAAACTCGCACAGGTCGAATGCCCGTGCGGATTCAATAAGTACCAGTCTCGCTTCTATTAATAATAGATTTCTATTATACTAACGAACCTACCTAGAATAATATTAATGAATCACCTCAATAACAAACTATAAAAAAAAATTACATATTTTTTTAAATGCTGTACCTTTTGTTTCAGATCATCAGAAATGATCCACGTAGATGAAACAGATCCCGTGGGAGGTGAGTGTATTGTTTTTTCCAATTTACTATAAATAAAATAAGAGGTCAGATTTAATAGTACGAGATAAATCTGTCCGGTTTTTTTTTGGCAACAAAAACGTCCTTTTTATGAATTAGGGAGTGGTGGTGTTAATGTTTAAAATTTAGAAAAAATATCCTGACAAAAACTTCTTCAGATATTTGAATGGGATAAACATAATAATTGTAGTTCAAGTAAAAAAAATTGAGCTGTTGATACTAATACCAAATAAAACGGACCTTTAATTACAAAAGAAAAGTATCGCGTATTGTTCGCATTAAAACTGTATAATCTCAAAACTTACTAATTTTACAAGAGAGTGTTTTAAAGGTTTAACGTGTGATAATTTTAATATTCATCATCTTTGCAACATTTATTTTATTTATTTATATATTTTATTTTTTACCAGTCACATCATCTGTCTTTTAAAGTAAGATAAAATTATGTATTCATTTTGTTAAAAATAGTAGTCAAAATATAGGTAAACTAAAAAAAAAAAAACTAAAACTAAACTACGCTCTTTTGACAGTATTTAGGAGAAAAATAATGGTGATACCAAACGATTCCTCGTATTAACTCGAATTTTAAAATATTTTTGGAAATTGTACACTTTTAATGCGAAAAGACGAAATATCGTTTAACACAAATAGCCTTTCATCCCTCGATATATAATTAAAAACTTTAGAAGCGCTTGGATTCTTTTTAAATACGCTTTTATTTCAATTACAATTGATTACACGACGCGATTCAAGTTTTTAATGTCGTCATATAAATAAGAATAAACAAAACGAGCGATTTTTGGCAGCGCCAAAGAATCCGCCTTTATTTTCGACTCGACTCGAGTATATTGGGGCGCCGACAACGGACATCGGTCGATGACAGCTTGTGACGGACATTAGATTCTGATAAACTGAACCTTTCACTTACGAGTATACTAGTGATACCCCAGTAGTCGAAATTAGTTAGTTTTACTGGTGGTACGACCTCTTGTGAGTCCGTGCGGGTAGGTACCACTACCCTGCCTATTTCTGCAGTAAAGCAGTAATGCGTTTCGGTTTGAAGGGTGTGGCAGCCGTTGTAACTATACTTGAGACCTTAGAACTTATATCTCAAGGTGGGTGGCGCATTTTACGTTGTAGATGTCTATGGGCTCCAGTAACCACTTAACACTAGGTGGGCTGTGAGCTCGTCCAGCCATCTATGCAATAAAAAAAATTATAAAATATAACATGCGTCCCGCGACGCGGCATATCTTCATGTGGCCCGCGACCATCGATGTGGTAATAATATCGATGCCCGCGACGCATCTTTTAATCAGACAATATTATTGGAAATAAATAGTTTCTGTAATAGGATTCTTTGTATAAACATATTATAATCAATATTTGGTATATTTTATCTTTATTCTTGTAGCATTCCATTCCTATGACATCATTTAAAAGTGAAACTATCTTTTACTATTATTAGGGGAATTCCCGGACAGTATTTATTAGCCTGTATTTTTTTTACTTGAAAACCGGTTTTTATTTCGCGGCCCTTCAACTTTTGTAGTACATTTAATTAGCCCGCAAAGGTATGTAATTTGCACAACCTAAGTCATACGGGAATTCCATGCCACGAATACTTATACGGCATATATACTGCAACTTGGCACAGAGCAATAAAATTTCTGACAATCTGCCTTAAGATCGCCAGTCAAATCTCAAGATGTAAATATTACATATGACTCACCGTTTTATCTGTATCTGTGGCGTTTTTATGCATAATTATAACCTAAAATTAGACATAAACATAAAAATTAACATATTCACCTGTTTTTTTGGAGTTTACTCCTTTAGAATCGATTTACATATATAGGCCCGGGGTATGAAAATTATGGGGACCAAAATCGTACTAGCATGTCACACGAAATGCGTTATGCGCCTGCGCCGGCAGTCCGCCACAAAGCCTCGTACTGATCGCGCGTTTCTCTCATTATTGTATTTTCATATATTTGTTAGTCGTTTGTTTTGTGTCTCGTTAATTTGTTAATAATCTGTAGTGTATCGTGTTGTCGTAATATAGAACTATTTCTCGTATTGTTTCGTTTAATTTTTTATATCCAGTAAACTCCAGTCGTGCGTCGGAGCGGACACACACACTTTTTTATTTTTTCTTTCTTTCTTTCGAACGAAATGTCAACGAACCCGAAACCAACCAGGTTTAACGTGCTAACACAGAATCAAATCATTGGCCTCATAAAGAGTCGTTGAATCAAATTTAAAAGACGTTTGTGAGTTTGAATTGGAGACACCATTGACGAGACACGATTTGCATGAATTCATAAAAAGTCTTTTATAAACTCGTTCAGATAATTCATAAAATTTAAAACTATTTTTTTTTTATAAATGAGGCTATGTTATCCATTAGTGAAAAATCTCTTTTCTGTTTTTTTTTTTTTTGTAATTTTGGCGATCATAAAACCTTATGAATTCAATGCAAAGATAAATAAACAAATCCGCTGAGTTGGTTTAGCCGGTTTTCTCGGGACTGTGGCTTTCTTAGAACCATGGACATGTTTATTCTTATTATTGCCCCGGTGGACAGACAAGCACATAGCCCACCTGGTGGTGAGTGATTACCGTCACACATATACCTACGTCTGTAGTTCCAGAGCGGCAGCTACTACATACCACTAAGTATATTGCGCAACCCTTATTTGTAGAAGGACATGTCTTAGCGCTCAGGAAACACCAAAAAGGGAAGTTCATTCCAAAGACCATCGGCCTCCTCTTTCCTTTAAGGTCGATTAAAAATTCAATGCATCGCGTTCATTATTTTTTCTATTTTATTTTTTATTGCTTAGATGGGTGGACGAACTCACAGCCCACCTGGTGTTAAGTGGTTACTGGAGCCCATTTACATCTACGACGTAAATGCGCCACCTACCTTGAGATATAAGTTCTAAGATCTCAGGTATAGTTACAACGGCTGCCCCACCCTTCAAACCGAAACGCATTACTGCTTCACGGCAGAAATAGGCAGGGTGGTGGTACCTACCCGCGCGGACTCACAAGAGGTTAAGTTGACCCTCACTATATTGCCCTAATAAAAATTAAATTTGCTTTGTTCGGACGCTGCGATACCAGATCAACAGCTTAGTGGAATACATACTGATCATGAATATAAAGCTTATACGGCTCCGTACGTGTTTTAAGCATTGAAATTATTAGAATACACGTGTTTCACCGACGGACAAATGCCAAATGACCGGTTGCACGGGAGTCGAGATTGCGCAGCTCTGACGTATCATTCATATTGTTTTTATTTTCAAAAGTATATCATAATATATATTGGAGTTAACAACGCAATAGAGAAACAGTTTGGCCCGTTGCCTCGTTTCTATGAGCATGAGATAATTCACTCTATATTATTGGTTTGTGTGTTTTCTTGATGCCCTTGAAACGCGACTGTAATTTTTTTATTTTTTTCATTTAGTTCAGATTTTGCATCCATATTACATTCATTAACATTTCATATAGTATACCAGAATTAAATAAAAACAATAAAGAACTATAATCTCGAAATAAAACAAAAGCAATAATAATAATATTTTTTTATTTTATTTATTTATTGCTTAGATGGTTGTACGAGCTCACAGCCCACCTGGTGTTAAGTGGTTACTGGAACCCATAGACATCTACAACGTAAATGCGCCACCCGCCTTGAGATATAAGTTCTAAGGTCTCAAGTATAGTTACAACGGCTGCCCCGCCCTTCAAACCGAAACGAATTACTGCTTCACGGCAGAAATAGGCAGGGTGGTGGTACCTACCCGCCCGGACTGACAAGAGGTCCTACCACCGGTAAATGTCTCAAATCAACTTTATCAATTACCCGATTAACTGTATTTGTATTATCAAGGTTTGCCTCATGCATTCCTGCACTTTATCGTGATAGTCCAAAATGAAAATGCGTATCAATAATTTAATTAACGAAATCGCTTCTGATAAACACGAAAACGTGTCAAAACGTGCAAGTTCGTGCTCAGGCGTTGCACAAACATATGTAATCAAATACGTAATGTCACAATGGTACATGCATTATTGAGCTTGTATTAAGTCGTATAAAAACGAGTATTGTGACGGTAGTCAACACAGAACACAAGATATTTGACAGATGCATGAATCTCGCTTACGACATTGTCAAGATAATCTTGCGTATATAGGTACAAGTTCCAGTACAACAACATTCGACACGTCATTACGGATCCTCCCGATCCATTAACGGTGCTTTTATGTACCACAAGCACCGGTCACCGTCCTCGCCGAACCCGTCGCTTGCGACGAAAGGCTCAACGAGTGAATTAACCGATAGACACGGCCCACTGAATCTTCTCAGTTGGTCGCGTTTCCGAAGCACGGGTCTTGCTAGGGCTCGTGTTAGCAACAACGTCAGGTTTGAGCCCCGTGAGCTCACTTACTCGCCCGGTAACGCTGACATGGTCACTTAAGACCATCAGCTTAGGTAGGAAAAAAAATATGACGCGGAGAGTTCTCTAAAACTGTGTAATTTCATACTCAACAGGAGTTACTGTCCCCTCTCTGTGGCTACGTGGCTTTGCACCCGATTACCTACAACACGCTTAAGTTACTGTGTAACTCATGACGTCACACTACCACAGTCTGCTGTAGAGCAGTTTTTTTTGCAATGTAATGCAGACGAGCTAACGGTAGATCCGATATGAGTTGTAACTCTAACCGGATTTCAATGACGATGACCAACTTGTGACCGGAGAACACGTGCAGTCAAACAACACTACTTTTGAAGTCGTCGTGGCCAAAAGGATAAGACGTCCGGTAAATTCGTGTTGAGCGATGCACCGGTGTTCGAATCCCAGACGGGGGTACCAATTTTTCTAATGAAATACGTACTCAACAAATGTTCACGATTAACCTCCACGGTGAAGGAATAGCATCGTGTAATAAAAATCAAACTCGCA